TTTGGCCACCTCACGAGAAGAGAAGACTCCCTGGAAAAGACCCTGATGTTGGGAAAGATGGAGGGCACAAGGAGAAGGGGACGACAGAGGACGAGATGGTTGGATAGTGTTCTCGAAGCTACCAGCATGAGTTTGACCAAACTGCGGGAGGCAGTGTAAGACAGGAGTGCCTGGCGTGCTCTGGTCCATGGGGTCAAGAAGATTTGGACACAACTAAACAACAACAAAAATACATAACCTGCTTGACTTTTTTTAAAAAAAACAACAACAACTCTTTGAGGAATGAGCACTCCAGTATGTGAGATGGCAGGGCACTAGCAGGAAAATGCTAGTTAGCCATGTCCAGATGACCTGTTCAACAAATATTTGTCCCGATTTATTTTTGCAAAGAGATTAGATGATGAGGCCTATTTAATGAGCATCCATCCTTTTTTGTTTGTGGGAGGGTTTAACCCCCTTGCCGTCAAGTGTCATCCCACACTTTTCAATGCATTACCCCCCAACCCACCCACACTCTCCTTATCCCCCAAAGTCCAATCTTTTCAGGGACGAAGGGGTTTGTTTCACGAGAGCTTCAAATCAGGTTCAAATATGCAGCTGGAATTTGGTGATCTTCTTACTGTTTGAACTGTGCGTCTACGATAAAAGGGATAGAGTTCTGGGCCAGTCACTGTCTCTCAGCCTAACCTACTTCACTGAGTTGCTGTTGGTGGGGAAAACTGGATATGAGCTCCTTGGAAGAAGGGATATAAATTGTGCTCATGTCATCCCATGCTCCCAATCGATTCTCCACCATTCTGTCATTTTTTCCCCTTCCCACATCGCCTGACTTGCACCTGTTATTTTCTGATGCCTATCATCTTATCCACACATACAACGTAACATTTTTCTCCATGGGATATTGTGCATGCTGTTGCCATGTCTGTTTTGTTTGTGCTGCAGTAAACATTCAAAAATCCTAGGGTTCGGGTCAAACTGAGGAAGGGGCTTGGATATAAAAGAGGGCGAAATTGCCTTTCTCATTTTTGCATGTTGGGGGTAAATTTATGGCCGGGGGAGCAAAATTAATTGGCACATGAATGCTCTGAAAGTTCCTATGCTGCTGCTGTTATTTAACACTGACACAAGCACCTAAAACTTGGTAAGTGCTGCACATACATTAAAAATTTATGAGTTGTGGCCTCAAACCTCAAATGTTCCTTCCACCACAACTTTCTTCCTCTTTAAGGTGCCACATGGGTCTTAGTTAAAACATTTTAGGATATTTGAAAAACAGGAGGATAACTGAGAGACCAGAGGTAATGCTGTGTGCGTTTGAGGCTGGCCAACATCTCTGTTTCTTGTCCTAAAAAGAAAATTATATAACATCTTTTACCAAAAAATATACATATGCATGGATATTAAAGATTCATAGCACTGCTGGAGATGTGTGGCAAGTCAAAGCCCTGGGCTTTGGAGGCAGGAAGGTTTTGTTTGTGCTGGAGAACTTTCACCTTCTCTAGGAAATCCAGGTGACATGGGCAGTTTCCTTTTGCTGGGAGGCAAGCATCGTTGGGCGGTCTTGTGGATCTTTGTAAAAACAGGCCACAAGCTACCCTAATGGACTGCAGGTACTTGCAATGATCTGTCTTATAAAAAACTTTTGCCTTGCACTTAAGGTGAGCAAACAGCCACGCAGAAAATAAAAACACATGCAAGTTCTTGCGGGAAGTGTTGCAAAACATGGTTCGCCATGCAACAAAATGGGGGGGGGGGACAGAGAGGAGGGAAGCAAGAACCCATCTGAGCAGCTCTGAAGGGAATAAAAGTAAAGGTAAAGGGACCGACTCTGGGGTTGCGGCGCTCATCTCACTTTATTGGCCGAGGGAGCCGGCGTACAGCTTCCGGGTCATGTGGCCAGCATGACTAAGCCGCTTCTGGTGAACCAGAGCAGCGCATGGAAACGCCGTTTACCTTCCCGCCGGAGTGGTACCTATTTATCTACAGTGGTACCTCAGGTTACACACGCTTCAGGTTACAGACGCTTCAGGTTACAGACTCTGCTAACCCAGAAATAGTACCTCAGGTTAAGAACTTTGCTTCAGGATGAGAACAGAAATCATGCAGCGGCAGCGGGAGGCCCCATTAGCTAAAGTGGTGCTTCAGGTTAAGAACAGTTTCAGGTTAAGAACGGACCTCCGGAACGAATTAAGTACTTAACCCGAGGTACCACTGTACTTGCACTCTGACGTGCTTTCGAACTGCTAGGTTGGCAGGAGCAGGGGGGAATAGAGTTCTCTTAACTGCTCTCAGCTCCCTTGAGAAAAAAAACTACATTTCCTAGGATTCTTTGGGGGAGGGGGGGAGGAAGAATCCATGACTGTTCAATAGGTATTATAGCGCTGTGGTGGTCATGGGGCCCCAAATTTCATTACTGTATTTGGCTGCCACTGTAATGCAGAACGCCACGTCAGAGACGCATGCCCCTCATTGGCAAACTCCTTAGGCCCAAGGTGCCCCAAACACAGTTCCCAAGGGCCTGGCTGGCCACTTCCTGGCCGGCACCTCGTGGGTTAACGCGAACATTCCTCTCTCCTTCTGACCTGAGCGGTGCAGCTTGAGTCCAGGCTATTCTTTGCGCTCTTGATAAAAGCATGTGAAAGCTGAAGGCCTCACACATTCCTCCATTCAGGGCTTGGCTGCCTGCCTGTAAACTGTCACTCCCTGGCACCCAGGCCAGAGAGGGAGAGAACTGCAGGGAACGCAAGCCAAACTCCCACCAGCTGCGCTTAAAACGGCACCCTCCCCATCTTTCCCCACCAGGGAGATCAGATCCCTTCTTCCGGCAAGTGGAATAACAATAATAATACCACTCCATTTTGGCTCCAGTCAGCATCTTTCCGCAGAAGCCGCCCCCTGTCCCCAAACCTGTGCAAAAGAGAGCACCTTACCCATCCCTCAGGAACAACTCAGAACAAGCCCCGCTAATAGCAGGGTTGTGCCCTGTTTATGTAAAACTTTTGAGAAAGGCGGGAGACAGGACTGTGTAAGAAGGTTCCTTGGGGTGCCGTGACATTTAATTACCCAGGCCCCACCTGTCCCAGGCCCACAGCCTGGCATGGCGGCACAGCAGGCAGTTACGGCAAGAACATGTTTAACAGCACATCGTGCTTATATCGCGAGGGGATCTTTGCACCCCCTGGGAAGCTTTCGTTCATTAAAGAAACAACAACCCAGAACTAAATTAAAACCAGCAACGTCACCAAACCTGGCTCAGCAGTGTCCCAAGTAACACTTTAAAACCACCACCACCATCATTTTTTCAAAAAAAACCTCACAACCACCCAAAGCACCTTATTTTTCTTTTCTTAACTTTCTATTTAAAAAGACAGCTACGTAAAGGAGCATATTTTTAAAAAATAAAGCAATCCTGTGCTAATGACAATGAAGGTATTTTTAGATATTATAAAAATGAAAAAGCAATCTGGAAATGGGTGATGGGCCGGCAAAGGAGGCTCACTTCGCCAGTCGGATTTGCAGCTGTAAACTTGAGGGCTCAAGGCTGTTTGAAATTCTGTGCCCTGAGTTTCTTAACATCAAAATTCTGCATTAAGACGACAGAGAGGAAGAGGGAGGGAGGGAGGATTGGACAAGTACAGGCACACATTAAAGGCAAAGCCAAGAAAGGAGGAGGGATTAAAAAGAATAGCTACGGGAGCTTTAAGAATCACAAACACAGGGCATATGTATATACCCAAGATGATCTGGCACTTGCGATCAGTCACAAATGAGGATTGGTCACATGGGTGGTCATTTTGCTTTGTTCTTAAATTCACTTTCTGCCACTTTTTATGTTTTTGATTGTTCTTTAGCTATTTTTTAAATTATACTCTGTACATTGCCTTAAGCCATATGCTGGACAGATAGCGACAGCAGCTTTGCACTGGCCAGGTGGCCCTTGGAAGATCATCTGCTGTCACAGGTATCCCTCCTGCCCTTAGTTTTTTACACTAAATGCAGCAACAGCATTTTACACTAAATGCAGCACCCAATCAGTGGGTGAGGCAGGTGTTTCCATTCGTGTCGGTCCATTTTATGCATTAAGGCTTCCTTCCAGCCTCGGAAGTGCCCGGCATATACCTCTCAAGTCGCACTCAAGCGAAACCCCACCTGACAGCCCGAGCTGACAAGGCGCCAGCTGCTTCGGTTGGAAATCAAGAGGCGTCAGGAGCTGAAACAATGCAGGGACAATTTTGAGGACGTAAACGCCTTGCATGGTGAAGGGCCCTTAGGAAGCCAAAGGAAGTGCCATTTCTGATGTGAAACATTACAGCTTCGGGCCGCCTCCAGACATCACAATAAAACATATCTGAAGAAGTGTGCGTGCACACGAAAGCTCATACCAATAACTAACTTAGTTGGTCTCTAAGGTGCCACTGGAAGGAATTTTTTCATTTTGTTTCGACTACGGCAGACTGACACGGCTACCTATCTGAATCTAGAACAATAAAACATTTTTTTTCTTCTTGCAGGGTTTGGGGAACCTTTTTCCTGGGGGACCTTCTGGGGTCTGGATGTAGTGATGGGTAGGGCGATAGGCAAAAGCGGAAAGAGGGATGGGTGCGACTTCTACCTCGCAGGAGGCTACATTCCAGCCACACCAAAGTCAGAGGTTTCTACATGCACACATTTCCATCAATCCTAGCAAGCAAAAGGGTGTTCGCAACATTCAAGGACATGTCCCGACCCAGGAAAAAGTATGAAAGGAGGGCATGATGCAGGGGTGTGGCCTATGGAGAGTCTGATAAGAGAGGCCTAGACTGGGATGCAGGTCTGAGGTTCCCCACTCTTGGGTTATTTTAGTGGGAATGAGCCTGTGCATGTTTCAGGCTCACACAATCCCCACTGTCCTCGCCCTGCATGGCCATGAGTTCAGAAGCTTTCACTACCATTTTCGATAACTACAGTTTAGTTACAGTGGTACCTCAGGTTACATATGCTTCAGGTTACAGACGCTTCAGGTTACAGACTCCACTAACCCAGAAATAGTGCTTCAGGTTAAGAACTTTGCTTCAGGGTGAGAACAGAAATCGTGTTCCAGCGGCGCAGCGGCAGCCCCCATTAGCTAAAGTGGTGCTTCAGGTTAAGAACAGACCTCCGGAACGAATTAAGTACTTAACCTGAGGTACCACTGTAATTAGGGGTGCTAGGGGAGAGGTATTATTATTAATTGAATTTATATACCGCCCTATACCCGGGGGCCTCAAGGTGGTTCACAGAATAAAATCAAGATATAAAACCACAAAATACAAAATAAAAATAGAACTTTCAAAAAAAAAGGTGCAGATCATTTGAGCACATCAACAACATATCTTTATTACGGCCGTGGACCAGCATAAGGAGGGAGGGGTACAATCGTTTAAAATCATTTAAAATCTAAACAAAAAATACATTTTGTTTTGTTTTTTAAAAAACTAAAAGGAGTTAAAACAGAGTGTGTGTGTGTGTGTGTGTGTGTGTGTGTGTATATATATATATATATATATATATATATATGTCCATAAGCATCCAAAAGAAGCTAAGAAAGTCTAAAAGAAGGGTTAGGAACATCAGACAAGTTAAAGAGTGCAAAAGGCTAGTACAGTGGTACCTCTGGTTATGTACTTAATTTGTTCCGGAGGTCCATTCTTAACCTGAAACTGTTCTTAACCTGAAGCACCAGTTTAGCTAATGGAGCCTCCTGCGGCTACCGCGCCGATGGAACACGATTTCTGTTCTCATCCTGCAGCAAAGTTCTTAACCCGAGGTACTATTTCTGGGTTAGCGGTGTCTGTAACCTGAAGCGTATGTAACCTGAAGCCTATGTAACCCGAGGTACCACTGTATATATAAGACCACAGCTATCAGTCTACTTTGGCCACCTCATGAGAAGAGAAGACTCCCTGGAAAAGACCCTGATGTTGGGAAAGATGGAGGGCACAAGGAGAAGGGGACGACAGAGGACAAGATGGTTGGATAGTGTTCTCGAAGCTACCAGCATGAGTTTGACCAAACTGCGGGAGGCAGTGGAAGACAGAAGTGCCTGGCGTGCTCTGGTCCATGGGGTCACGAAGAGTCGGACACGACTAAACGACTAAACAACAACAACATCAGTCTACAGAGCACTCAAATCCGAGAGCTCATTATCGAGCACATCATCATTCCTAACACTACTTTAAAAAATACAGAAGTGGTCAAACATTAGTAAAATGTAACAATGGACCCAAAGCGTACATTGATTTTTCACTACTCTATCTAGGCTTCTAATTTTATTGACTCAAGTACCGAACGTGCTTCTTTATATTCTTCAGCTTCTCCCAACTCTTTTCCATTTTCTAATAGCTGGGCAAGATCTGCACGTGCAGCTTCTAATCTGCGTTGGCAATCAGGAATCATCATTCTTGCAAGATCTCAATCTGTTTTTTAATTGCATAATTTTCAGAATCTTCAGCTTTCACTTTCTCAAATCTTCTCTTCTTGCCATTTTGCTTCTTTTTCATACATAACCTTTTCTTTTGCCAAGCGCTTCACTAAGGCCGTTTAGTACCTCTGGTGGGAGACACGTTGTGCTCCTTCTGGGGTAGTTTTCTCACCTTTTGTCCACACCTTGCCCCTCTGCTCTCACCTGTGGCTCATAGAAGCTGTCAGCATGCGACAGCGGCCGCGCCCCAGGAATGGCTTCGACCGGTGAGGGTAGCCAATGGGTCTCAAACCCTCAATGAATGGACTTCCCCTGTATGCAAAGACAGGCACCGGTGGATTAAGCGGATGAGACTGTGATAGGAATTTTGAGGTCTAGATATATGGTAATGTTCATAACTGCACGTACATAGCAAAGGGGCATATTTTTATTTACAACAAGACCAATAGTGGGTCCAATGGTCAAGAAGGCGTTTTCTGCATATGCTGCAGAGGGAAGTAAGGGGCAGGTGGGGCTTGCCAACCTGAGAAGGTAGCCCATCTAGAAAAAGGAAAACTCTTATCCTATGCTGCCTTGAGGGAGATCTTTGGGAGGAGTAAACTCTACATGAATCCCGAATGGAGTCTCCAAGATTGTTGGAGGACACTTTATATGCCTCCTTCCAGCAACTCCTGCAGCCAAGCTGGCGTCAAACACATTGCTCTGCTTGGACCACATTAGCAAGGCCGAGAGAGGTGTGGGTGTCTTGTCATCTGGGCAGCCCAGGACCTCCAGACACACTGCCCAGGCTTTAGCCCCAGGGAGGTCACTTCAGAGCTGCTAACACAGAGGTCCGACTTCACCTCCAGAGACGAACTCCATTGTCTCTTGAGACAGACGGATGCCAACAGCAGTTTAGTACCCCAAACCACAGTTAATCTTAACTGGAGTTGGTTGAATCAAGCAAATTTTATACAGCGGTACCTCTGGTTGCGAAAGGGATCCATTCCGGAGGCCCGTTCGCAAAGGAACACAACCCACAGTGGTGCATCTGCGCACACGCGGGTTGCGATTCGCCGCTTCTGCGCATGACGTCATTTTGCACGTCTGCGCATGCGCGAATGGTGAAACCCGGAAGTAACCCTTTCCAGTACTTCCGGGTCGCCGCGGGACGTAACCTGAAAGAACGTAACATGAAGTGGCCGTAACATGAGGTATGACTGTACAGTGGTACCTCAGGTTACAGACGCTTCAGGTTACAGACTCCGCTAAACCAGAAATAGTACCTCGGGTTAAGAACTTTGCTTCAGGATGAGAACAGAAATCGCGCAGCGGCGGCGGGAGCCCCATTAGCTAAAGTGGTACCTCAGGTTAAGAACGGTTTCAGGTTAAGAACGGACCTCCGGAACGAATTAAGTTCTTAACCCGAGGTACCACTGTAACCCATAGTTTGAAGC